TAAAAGATACAATGTCAATGGCAATGAACTAATTTTGAAAGTACACTATTAATACTACCCATACCTAAAAGTCACAAAAATTACTATTTTTTGCATTTTGTTGAATCTTCACGACCATCTTATGGTGATGCTATCAGCTATGTACAACTTAAGCGTGATGGGAAAAGATTGTACAGTGTAAAGAAGGAGTAAGGTACTAGAACACAAATTGCATGCAAAGTGGTACAGTCTCAATAGAACAAGAAAGATTTAATTTGGCCAATGCAATACAGTATCATGATTTGCGTCGCTTCTAAGGAGGGTGTAATGGCACTCCATAGTATTCCTCATGTGATCCCACCGGAGGAGTGAAGAGCCATCACACTGTACCGCTTTGTAGCATGTTATTGGAAGAGATCCAAACTGTCCCAGGTTGGAACTAGCCTCAAGTATATGACAGCGAAAGGGGATTTGTCAAAAGGTGCACCTAGCCTACTATCAAATGGTTACGTATTCTCGATAAGTTTTTGGACATATAGGAAGGAAAAGAAATCTTGATAATTGTAGATATTAAAATATCGAAATCTAGTTATATTTTGTACTAGTATTCCAAAGTTTATCAATGCACCAGCTTGTACTGAAATATATAAGGAGAAATCATGCAGCGAGACATTGTTAGAAAAAATAGTACTGTCTAACGACACTATTGCTAAAATAGAGATAAAGGAACCAAGAAACTATCTTACAAGAAATAAAGTACTGAATTTGGCGATATATGAGCTAACTGGGTCTCGCACGCCTTGCAAGATTTAACCATGTATTTCTCACTTTTAGTTATTGGAACATTAATGAACAACTTATTCGGAGTCTATCGAGGTATTATTACATTTGAGGAACCGCACACCATCGATACACGTTAGAATTCATCATTATAGCTCAAAATAATTAAATATTATAGAAAAATAAACTGATTAACATGCCAAGTGTCAAGTGTTAACGAAAGCTGTGACGTCACACACAGACGCCATTACTATTCTAGTGTTTTGGCGCTAAGTTTAAATTGCATTATTTAAAAATGTCAAATTCTCCATCAAAACTTGTAATTTTCAGAAATAAGAAATTTATTTCGACTATTTTAAATGCCTAAAATATCGTGGAGTAGTTTTTTTCAAAATTAGTTATCTTGCCTATTGGTTGCATACATTTTATGACTAGGCATAACATTTCTATTAAGAAACCAGAAGAGACCAGTATAAACAGTATAACAACTTTTAATAAAACCGAAATAAGCATGTTCTCTGAGCCACTTGGTCAGCTGATGGAAAGTCATTGATTTGTTTCAAAGAATATTTATAATATTGTGACAAAACGGGCATTTTTCACCAGTTCAAACCTGGAAAAATTCTGGCTTCAACTTCAACAGAAGGGGATCGATCATCAAGAGGAAAAACATCACTTTGCTGTATTGCTATGGGCGCTGCAGGAGTTATATTCCACCGATGTGTATTTTCGCTAGGTAAAGGTTAGGGCTTCACACGATACCGAGACTTTTCTCGCATCGTCTCGCTTTCCCGAGACGAGAACGAGACGATACGTGTTTCAACAATTTCTCAGCCATACCGAGACCACAGTCACGAGTCTCGTTTTTGGTCTCGTTAATTTTTTTATTAAGTTGTTATTAGAAAAATGAAAAGGTCCAATATATGCCAATATATCTGTGAAATATTTCTTTTGTATATTCAAAAGAACAAGTCAGTAACCGAATATCATGACCTTTTTGACTTTTTGAAAGTTTTATGAAAATTTTGTCTTTGTTTACACATCAGGAAACATATTTTGTTTTTCTGTACTTCTTGAAACAAAAGATATTGTATACCCCCTGGATATGTTAGGAATTGTAGACGTGCGCCGCTTACTTTCAAACCGAATCAACTCGATTATTGTACTTCTAGTATACATTAACGTTAAAATTTGAAACAGTAAAATATATTTTCAATTAAAAGTGATGCAATCAAAAATTAATATTTTTAAACTATGTATGTATTTTTTACTTTACACGAAAAGCAATTAGCAATTAAATGACTAAACTTTTTGAACTGCAAGATCTAAAACTGAGTTCTACTTAGAGAGCTTCACACGATACCGAATTTTCTCATTATCGTCTCAATCCTATATCGTTTTCAGACGATACCTTTGATAATCTCGTCAGTCTCGTCTCGTGTGATAAAGGTTGACTCCTCTGCTAGAAAGACTGTCAGCAGCGCAAATGCTCTGACAACAGTTGGATTAATGAGAATCTCTTTCTTGAATGGTTGGTGCACTTTAAACAGCACGTTAAACCATCTGCAGATGAACATTCATTTAATACTAAATTTTCTTTGACTCCGATTTACTTTAGGGACCACCCGGAAACGTATTTGCGCTCATAAACCTAATATTGATAGCTGGAACCTTTCCTTCAATGGTTAAAACATTTTATCGCCTATACACGATTAGTGAAGAGCAAACAAAAACAACTTCTTCTATTAGCCGGTCATTCTACGCATACAAAAAATATTGATTCCATTATACTTGCTCGTGAATATGGAACTTCAACCATTGGATCGTTGAAGAAGACAGATCGCGAGGTCAGCAATTCAGACAACGCTGAACTGCCAAGACGAGAGTCTACAGACAAAGAAAAAGAGATCGAATGAGATTGAATGGGACTGAATTAACGATCTTCGGCCCCACCCGAAGTCGCTGGCAAACGACGCAGAGAAACATCATGTTTCAAACATGCATGCCCGCCAGCAGTTATTTCATGATGAGTAACCGCTGGGTAATACACTCAGAGTCAAGAATTGAATTGTTGTAAGTGTCACTGGAAGTTCACAGTAATATTAATCTACAACTACTATTTCAGAAATATCTCACTTAACAGCTTGCGGTGGTGGCCCATTTAATTTTTGATTTATTTTTATATTAAAATGTAGTCACTAATTTCCATTTGCGGATTTAATATATGTATCGTTTTGTGATACATATTTTAGTTCTAGTTTTTTTTTTGGTTTTTTTTACGGGTTCACTGGTATTGAAACGTGTTGTTATAATGTTTGCTGTTGCTGCGCGTTTTGGTTATGTTTTGCCTAACAGGCACAACTGCGTTTAGTTTATGTAAATTTATATTTGGCGAATTTTATCTTGAAGGATTATTTTATTGAGAATGCTTCACTTTTACATGAGCCGTTTCTTTATTCGTCGCCAAGTATTGATGCAAATTAACCACAGACATCCACAAAACGACGACGTGCCACGCCTAATGGTGCAATTCTGTGCGATTCGCATGTTACATACGAAGCGAAACTGAGAGGACGCGTCGTTCGTCGATGCTAGAGAGCGGCGCAACAATGCAACTGTCTTTTTTCCAAGGTCATATACAGGATGTTCGCGTAGTGTTTGAAGTGCACAGACTTGGCTTTATTTTGAAATGCAAGTCTGCAGGATTACCTACCTACCTACCTACCTACACATAATTTTTAATAATTTCATAATTAAATTACTAATAAATGATCTATTAGACAACTAGGTTTTTATTTATTTGTACAAAATTAGGCGGTTAAGGAAATATGTGAAGTAAGTGTGACGGGATGTTCAAAGAGTTATATTTATTACTAATTAATTAAAATAGAATGAACAAATAGTTTATTTGAAAAATCAAACACTATTAGCGTGCTATCGAGGCCTCTTAATTGTTATATATTTGTATATAAATTATTTCATAATTAATATTCATTGTTTAAAATAAATAAAAAAAATTAAAAAGTGAGCAATTGTCTGTGTGAGCAAAAGTCACTGTAGACCAGTCATTTGGTAGTTTTGCTTGGAAAATAGTGCGGGATTGTTGAAAAAGGTACATACATAAATTATAGGAAATTTTCTCTAGTTTAATTTATTATATAGATATGTTTATCGTAAAATGAGTCGGAAGGAGGTATGGTCAAAACTGTTTTTTGACACCATTTTTCCAAGATGGTGGAGTCGAGCGAACAAGATACGAGGTGGCAAAGTTAAATTCGTAAAGTACCTCGAAATCTATATGAATACCAATTTTCAACAATCCCACTTTTCTAGCACAACTCACAACGCAAATGACTGTACTACTGTGGGCAATTGTCAATATGAGCAAAAGTAACTGTAGTATTCCCTGTGAGCAAAAACCATGTGAGCAACTGTCCGTGTGCGCAGATATGACTGTGGGCAGTTGTCTGTGAGCAGTTGACGTGTGAGCGATCGTCTTGGGGTTAAAAGTCCGGGAACCTGTGATAATACAGTGTGATGGTGTGATGGCGTTAAAGAAGTCAAGTAACCAGATGCAGAGGTATTATTGGCTAAACAATTTCTTTATTTTATTTAAAAAATAATTTATTTTATTAAAAAAAAAGGGTGCCTATAACCATTCGGGGACCACTAAGAATATGTGTACAAATTTTCATGATGATCTGTTAAGTAGTTTTTGCGTGAAAGTATAATAAGGATTTACTGGTTTTTGCGACTTTTCTAAATGTGTACAAATTTTCATGATGATCTGTTAAGTAGTTTTTGCGTGAAAGTATAATAAACATCAGGACTTTCGCATTTTTAATATTAGTAGGGATTTACTGGTTTTTGCGACTTACGGTCTCTCAGCTTCGCTTCAGAACGTTTTAAAGTTCTCTCCAATATCAACATGATGACTGCTCTTAATGAAGCCGTGGATTTTTTTATCTAATTCAGCTAAATATCGCCCTGTATTTAGTCTCTGTCCGCTCTACAACTATTGTACGTGAGCGGCTATAGTGTTATTAAAATATAAGAACAAAATATAAACGAGAATGTCCTCAAAGATATATTGATAGACGCCGCAAAGCAATACATTTCGCCGCCAGCCTTTACGACAAAATCAATTTTATAATTAAGCTAAATTTTAATACTAAATTATAATTCATTCTATACGAATACAAATATTAAATTGATTATCAATTTAGGAGCAGTGATAAAAGTACAAATTACCTACTTGTCTTTTAGTATCTTACCCTCTGCGTTGTCATAGTTACCATAATTTATCGATTTATCAAGTATTTTAGGTGAATTCATGAGAATCTAAACAAAATGGATTTTGTAGTAGATAAAGTATCAGAAGACTCATTCTTTATTAATGTGTTAGCTGGATTGCCTCAGCAGTTAGGTAAGAAATATTACAAATAAGATATCCAATATGATTAATTTCTTATTTAAGATAAGTTTAAAAAGCTCGGCATAATATCCCGTCATTTATCGCGGAAGCTACCAGCTTCGCATTCGGAAATCTGTGCATGGGAACAGAAACAAAGCATTCTTCTACCTGAAGATCTACGTAACTTTTACAATTCCTGCAACGGATTCCTGTTCACCTGGACGTTTAGATTCGGCAGTTAGTATAATTTGACATGCCTATACTCACCAGCACTATTCATCACCAACAGATTTTAGATGCAGCCAATGAAGTTACTGGTCGCCTACAGGAAGTTAAACAGGAATTCGAGAAGAAGAATCCACCACTCAATCTAAGTGGGGACTAGAGTCAGAAATGATGCAGGTGTAGAAACAAGTATTTGAACGTTTCCGGAATTACGATTTGGGTACTGCAACTAGTAGACTGTTGAGCTACCAAAGGCTTCGGATGAAAAATGCAAAGTAAAAAATAGTATTCCAAAGGAGCACCTAATTATAATTTGGTTTCTAGGTGCTATTGGTCTATTTGAATTCTCGGTATTCTCCCACAATCTGGGTTACAACCGGTCCACAAGAATTTTACTTCCTGTCAGACGATTTTAGAACCTATTTCCGCATGTTGCTCGTCCACATCGGCATTCCAGGCTGGCAGCTTTTATTCACACCACAAGGCGTTCCTCAATGGGCCGAGGTACATTACATTTAATTCTCTAACTCTACGCACATGCAAGCACAATCAATTCGGCATTTGTTGCAGAATCTATTAATCCAGCTGCTGGTGCCGCACTTAATCCAGCCAGGTCGCCGTCAGTCTACAAAAAGCAAAGAGAAAGAAATCACACAAGAACACTTTGAGATACCTGTGAATAGATTGGACCTCACTTTACTTTTAAATGTATCTTCCACGATTGCCGCATGGTTTTGCCGCGTGTGGTGGAAAAAGAAAGATGCGCTGATAACGCCAACAAAAACAAAACGAGATAAGAGCGACAAGGAGGCGTATTTACAATGAGTCTGCGAAAAAGTTTCACAATGCTTAAATCTCCAAGCGCAATTGTCAGCACACCAGTAGAAAATGGGTGTACTGAAGTGTGCTAACGATTTCCGATCAACTTATAATAATGATGGGAAAGTGTCGATTTGTGTCGAAAAGTCAAATTCCGGCGGTGTAGTAGACTCTTTCTTGTAATCCTACCCTAATAACTTCTTTACGACGAAATTAGTTTTCGAAATCCGTATCAATCGATTGACTGCCATCAGCTGGTTGAATGCTCTCGAGCAACTGGCGCGCGCCTGGTAAGAAGTGTTTATATCAGTTGTATACAACGCAGGGCTGTCGATGGGCTGTTGTTTGCGGGATGAAACGAGCAGCCGATGTTAATTCCAGGAATTCCGGATGGTGTACAGGCGGCGGAACTAACAAATTTTTGAAATGGAGACGACCGATGATCGCCTCGTACGTTCGTTGTCAAATTCGGGATTTGGCATTTGTAGTTTCCCATCCATTCGAATGCCATAATATCCGCGCACATATTCTGCAGCGCTTGATAATAAACTGACTCTTTTAAACTATATGGTTGTGACCGTTTTGTTTAATTTAGTCTTTTTCTTGCTCGAAGCCTTTGTTCTTTTGTAGTTCCAGTGAGCAATTCCTGCTCGGCCAGAAAAGGCGCCTGCTCTAGTCAGCGCGAATTACCAGCCATCCGCCTGGAGACTCATACAAATGCCAATATGTAGTAATATTCGTGGACGCTATACAATTCCAACTCAAATCCACTGAGCAGATACATAATCATAATCCGTAAAGTGTGATATATAGAATCACGTGCCAAGCGAAGCGGGTGTGGCGTGCCGAGACTAAGGTTGCATTACTTGTGAAGTTAGCAGAAGATATGCATCCGCACGTTCCGCTTCATCCTGTAAACTGGTAGACTCTTCTAACAAGTGCGCCAGTTTTGTCACGCTGGCTCTCGCGCGGTGTGCCCGCACAGTTGCAGAGGTAGCAAATGCGCATACAATGCGTGAAGAATAATGTCTTGTTACGGGGCGTGCTTTGTTGGTTGTATAACATTGATTTTGTGTCGTAAGTGCTGGCGGCGGGGTAAATTTAACTTCAGGCAACAATAACCGGGACGTGCGACGGTTTGCTATGCTATGGCTGCCCACGTATAATAATTGCAAGAGCAGATCGTGACAAAATACGGTGATGTTTTGCACAATTCGATGAAAATCCGGAAGCGATTAGGCGGTCACCATGTTGATATTTGAGAGAGAACTTTAAAACGTTCAATCATATTCTCGAAGTAAACTAGAGCGTCGTATCTGGGTTTGATTTTCATTAGCGTGGAAACGGGAAACAACCGTTGATTTATAAGTGGTTCAAACCCAATTATTGGAGAATTTTCAACTTCGTATATATAAATTTTTCACATAACATATGAATCGATTTATTACACTTACACAATGCTTGTGTTCCCCATGTGAGTCGTTTTAATCATCACAAAGATCAAATCCGATGCAATTTTAATTTAGCGCCGTTAACGCTGTACTTCGGGTGTTACTGACAAATGTTCGTCGCGTTTATGAACAAACAATAGTAGTGTTTGATATAGCACACGTACGAATTTTATACGTGAATATATCGCCACTATTTCTTCTGCCTGTACCTCCATGGATTGCGCACCGTTCGAGTATAACGCACGGGCTTCCTTGTCGAGTTCTTCTTCGACTTCATGCAGCATACCAACCACACGCTGTTCACTGACATCGGGATACAAATAATATCCGTACTGCATGCCTTGAAAATCTTCTTCTTCATAAACCATAGCTCTGTGCATATAAAAATACATTTATATAAAATTGATCCATTAAGTTAGACTTACTTCTGAATATAATCCTTTATAATATCCAGTAGCTTATATATGGCAATACAAAATGCCTTAAGAGTACGGTCCTCAATGAGGTATGGTTTGTGCAGGTACAAATTAGTAAAAACTGTTTGAGCCAATGAATGTCCTTCCAGCCATGATACCATGCATGCCAAAGTTGTATCAATTATTCCAATTAAGTCTGAATTACTTATGCCCCATAACAATAAACTTCCATCCTATAACAATGTTTAAAAGATATTGCCATTCTGGGTTGCTATATTCACTTACTTCAATTGATTGATCAAAAGAGTTGGCTTTCTTGTTACCCCTGTTGCATAGCATGCCTGCATCCATCTTTGGATCCATCATCTCAATAGCAGACATAGCTTCAAAAAGACCAAACAGTGTGTCATGAAGCAGTTCTCCTAGTTCCAAGTCAGCAAATTGTTAGAGTCTTAACTATAAGATGATGATAATAATCAGATTTTCCTAGCAAACCCTGAACTGATGTGTGAAACTCTTTTGTTATGTCCACCCAATTATACTGGGCTTTGGTACCACCATTGGACACACTATTAGCTGCTGTCATTGATGGTGACATCACATTACCTTGCATGTCTTGGATATCATTTGTCGTTACTTCTTTTGTATACTCCATACTTACATTACACTCTGGAATACCTTTTGAAGTGGTTCTAAAATTTGATTGTTACACTTGAAATGTAATGAATCAAGCGTCAAGTGTGCTTCACTGTTGATCCCATTTGGTATATTCAGTATGGTCGGGTTTTGTGCATGTACTTCAAGCAGAATTATTAATTTCTCAAAGTGTCTATGGGCCTTGGGGAAACTGTATGACAATCAAAATATGTCAAATTTCCAAACAATTATGTTATGTAGTGTATGGTGTTTTCACTGTGCGAATGGTTCGATGACTTTTTAGTTATTATTCTTCCTGACAACCACGAAAACTTCTATCGCTTCCAACGTTCTTTTCATTACACATTTCCCTAGAGGCCATATGCATGTTCATAACCTAAAAGTATACAAACAACATATCTAAAGTTTACAATAAGTTCTATTCCTGAAAACTTCATTTTCCAAATTTATATAAATTCAGCAATAAATGAATGGATCATTACATATATGACCCAAAATTTAGCGCTGATTGGTTAATCACGAAAAATTCAGGCTTTCAATTCTTCGAACCGCAGTTTAGTATAATTTACAGATTGAATTATATAGACCTGAGTGTGACAAGTGATAAATGTATATAAATATATAATAATACTTTTATAATTCTTTTATATCAGATAAAGGCGTACAGTAAGTGTTTACTTTACTTAGCTTGTTATTAAATGCATATGTGTATGGATGTGTGTATTTCAAATTTGGCGCCTAACCTGCAACTGATACATTCACCAACACCATACCAACACCAACACCATACTCACGAACACGAATCCCTCATCACAGGACGTTCGCGGCGTGATTGATATAGACAGGGTCGGGTTTATTTTAAGTGTCAGTTACAAGGGTGGTACTTTTCTGACATTTTAATTGTGTGAAGGTACGTGCCGTACTCTTTACCGCTCCCTTAGCTGAAGATAATCCTGAACACAAGGTAATGCTTTAATTAGTGATTGCTTGTAAATTTTTTTTAAAGTAAATGTTTTTACATCACATCAGTAAATGTTTTGATCCAAGAGAAAAATACTGATTTGGTTCTAATAATAAATAATATTTTATTTTATTTTAATTCAATACTATGTACCAATATTCTTTAATAGATAGAAATTTATCTAACAGTAGATTTAAATTGGATTTTAAAATACCTGAGTTTGTTTATATTACCAGTAAATTACAATTATGAAATAAATTAACAAGTTGATTTGCAACGTTATGCAATTAACTATTATACCCACAGGTATATTTCGGATTTCTTGCACGTATTATAGACTTTCGAAAGTATTTATCAACTTACCCTTCTACTAGTTTGTCATACTTCTTGAACTTTTCATAAGTTTTTTTTTCGGTTTATAACGTCTGACGACGCTTTCTGGCCAGTGTTCTCCAAATTTCTCGGTCGTTCCAGTCCCCTTCCGTTAGGCTTCGTTCTCGCATCGCTGTGCCGATGTCATCTTTCCATGTTGTTCGTGGGCGGCCCCTCTTCCTTTTTCCCTCTGGAATCCACTTTGTGATCAGCTTTGGCAGCCTATGATCCTACATTCTTTGTACATGGCCATGCCAAATTAACTGCTGGGTTCTTATCGCATCTTTTATTATGTACGTGGCTTTCATTATAGCGTGGATTTCCTCGTTTCTTATATGCTCAAGGCGTGATCTTCTTGCACATCTAGGGTGTTCAATTTAGTTTTGTCAGAGTCATGCGCCTAACCTGCAACTGATACATTCACCAACAAAGCCCATACACCATAGTCGTGCATCACACGAACACGTTTATTGCGGCGCAACCGTGCCGTCGGACTTGAAGTTTCAAGTGACATATACAGGACGTTCGCGGCGTGATTGATATAGACAGGGTCGAGTTTATTTTAAGTGTCAGTTACAAGGGTGGTAGGTACTTTTAAATGGGATTAATTTTTAAAAAAATCGGTTTTTTCTGACATTTTAATTGTGTGAAGGTGCCGTACTCTTTACCGCCCCCTTAGCTGAAGATAATCCTGAACACAAGGTAATGCTTTAATTAGTGATTGCTTGTAAATTTTTTTAAAAGTAAATGTTTTTACATCACATCTGTAAATGTTTTGATCCAAGAGAAAAATACTGATTTAGTTCTAATAATAAATATCTAATATTTTATTTTATTTTGTCATGTCAAACTCAAACCAAAAAGTTTAATTCAATACTATGTATCAATATTCTTTAATAGATAGAAATTTATCTAACAGTAGATTTAAATTGGATTTTAAAATACCGGAGTTTGTTTATATTACCAGTAAATTACAATTATGAAATAAATTAACAAGTTGATTTGCAACGTTACGCAATTAACTATTATACCCACAGGTATATTTCGGATTTCTTGCACGTATTATTGACTTTCGACAGTATTATCAACTTACCCTTCTACTAGTTTGTCATACTTCTTGAACTTTTCATAAGTTTTGTTTCGGTTTATAACGTCTGACGACGCTTTTCTGGCCAGTGTTCTCTATATTTCTCGGTCGTTCCTTCCGTTAGGCTTCGTTCTCGCATCGCTGTTATACGATGTCATCTTTCCACATGTTGTTCGTGGGTGGCCTCTTCATTTTCCTCCTGGAATCCCACTTTGTGATCTGCTTTGACAGCTAAGTCCTACATCGCTTTGTACATGGCCATGCCAATTAACTGCTGTGTTCTTATCGCATCTTTTTATTGTGTACGTGGCTTTCATTATAGCTGATGCGTTCCTCTCGTTTCTTATACCATGCTCAAGGCGTGATCTTCTTGCCGAACGATCTTCTTGCGCATCTGGGGTGTTCAATTTTGTTTTGTCAGATTCATTGATTGTCTATATTTCAGCACCATACGTAAGGTATCTACCAGTGTTGTTATAGATTCTTAGTTTTTCTTCCTTTTGCGACACATGTGTTGACCACAAATCCCATTTAGCATTTCTGATTTTCTTAGCCTGGTTGATTCTATGTCTTATGTTCGTGGTTTCTCTCCCATCCATGGTTATGAGATGGCCTAGGTATGTGTACTCATCACATCATTTTGTTACCATGGAGTTTTCTAAGATCAAATCATCCAGTTCTCCGCCCACACATGTACTTTCGTCTTACACACATTCAGTTAGTGTACAGTGTTCTATCATCCAGTGGGAATCCCATGGTGTTGCACTACTTTTTCCATGTGTTGAGGGCTTTCTCTATGAACAGCCTGAAGAGTATTGGTGACAAACAGCAGCCCTGCCGCATGCCCTTTGACAGTTTGTTGGTATCGGATAATTGATTCCTTAATTTTATCCGTGAATTGCTGTCATTGTATAGATCTTTTATTGCATTAGCTATATTGCGATTTATTGAGGACTCTTTTAAAACAAAGACGTGATCATTGCACGATCTACCAGCTCTAAAACACGCTTGTTCTTTTGGTTCTTTGGGGGAGTATTCATCAGCGACAATGTTCGTGAGGACTTTCGTGTAGAGTTGTAGAGCCTACTTAGAGTACCACTTACTGAGATAGCGCGATAATTATTGCAATCTCTTCTTTCTCCTTTTTTGAATATGGGTGTAATGTATTCAGATTTTACTTCGTCTGGCACGGCTTCCCCGTTCGTCAATTTTGTATAAAGTTTCGCTATCATCTCATACAATTCAGTTGGTGCGTGCTTGATTAGTTGCGTCGGAACTAATATAAGTTAACAATAAAAAACGCATTCCTTTTAGTGAGTGAAGTTTGTATGACTGTATACTTTTATTGTATTTTTATTTTATTTTAGGGATTTTTAGGAATGTTTAATTAA